CCAAGTAGGTTTTCACTTACAAGGAATCTGACTTAGTGTTTTAGTGCGTACCAGTAAACAGTAACACAGATTAGAAAGTGGTGCCAGTTGTATGCATTAAGTGTTGTATCTTCTAAGTAGGTATTTAAAATTCAAGCAAAAAAATTGCACAGCTTTAATTTACCTCATAATGAAAATGTTTAGCACAGCTGATTGTGTAGCTTATTCCTAATTTTTTACTTTCAAACTCCCGTCTACAGCAGCTCTGCAGATCTCATAAAAAGGGCAAGATGTCAAATGGCAGGACAACAACGACAGAAGCTGTTACTATGAGAGGCAACAACGGACAAAGACCTGTTGAGGGCCGTCTTCTGTCATCTTTAATCAGGGTTGTCGTATAGTTTAACCAATGGTTTAGTTTAAATGTGGACAGCTTGTTTCTTTTTTGTACCTGTGACATTTAAAGTGTACTTTGCTAGTAAGTAGGGCTGATCAATTTAATGAAAATATGTAATCCTGAAGTTTCTGATAAATATTTGATTTCTGATATAATTTTTTCAAGTCAAGTTTCAGTTTAACATCCAAAGTGTAATAGCGGGCAGACACATTAAAAATGTACATGTTATGACTTACTTACGTTGGCCCTACCTGGTTATTGCCATTGCTTTGTGACATATACTTAGAATTCTATGATACTGTAATATGCTCTTAATTTGTATGTAAACCTGATTCAAATTATTTTTCATCTGAATGTCTACAACCTCTTAAATTGCTGCCTGTTTTGCCTCGGATGTTCTTGTAGGAGATCCTTAATGTCAATGAGCCTTTATTCTGGTTAAATAAAGGGTAAATCAAAAAAAGAACATGTGATGGAGCATTACCACATGAGATACCATCAAAAGCATGACTGTCACACGAATTAGTAAAACCTTACACACACTGCGTAGCATGTATCCTAAAAGTTTCTGCAATTTGCATTGTTTCAAACTGCGATTTTGATTTGAAATGGTTTTATTATTGGACCTCAAAAAGCTTAAACTACTACCATCTAACTTTAGACAATTTCCGTATATGATAGCATGTCTAGAAATAACACAAAAAGCCTCAAGACCTTGATGTTAACGTTAATAAAAACTCTCAGTGTTTGTTTACTATGATAGCTACATTAAGCTGCACTATACTTTCAAAGTGTTGACACCGTGCCTACTTAGTGTCAGAAAAAAAGATGCTAAGAGGCTGAAGTTGTTCACAAGTCTAACCTGAGTGTTCTACAAAAGGGGGAGAATCAGAAGTCGAGTGATCTCAGCCTTTACTTCAGCCACACAGAGAACCTCCTTGAGAGCCCTTCCAGTGTTGTGCTCATTGTTTCCCCCGGTGCTTCAGCTTGTGATTTCCTCTTCTAACAGCAGCACTTTCAGTTGACCCTGACCCATACAACACTTACAGCCGCGCACATTGAAAAAGGTAAGGTGTAATGACGCTACATTTCATTTCTACTGAAAGATGACTACAGAGCTTCCTTTAAAAAAAAAAAAAAAAAAAAAAGCATTACCTTTGGCTGCAAAGTCAGACACCTACACTTGGAAGCACACCTGACTGTTATCACTAGCAACACTCACACACGTTCACTGTTGTTCCCATGCAGTTCACCAGCAGGTTCAAGCTGAGCATGTTTGCACCAGCTGAGAGAGCAAATAAACAACAGCTACTTAGTATACAGCTTTTTCTATTCAGCTGATAAGATGATGTAGGTTTGTTCTTCAACCAGAGGGTAGAAAAGCCATAAGTGTGACACTCTGCTAGCTCCAACAGCTGTGACTGAACTACAACAACTCCGACCCACCAGCTGTGGGAGAAAAAAAGAAATACTGCCTACAGATTTCAGTGGGTTCCTCTCCAGACAAATACTCCTGTGTACATGCAAATCAATGAAGGATTTCCCACAATCAGCACCACCAGCAGCACTTTGACCATCATCTTCAGGGTTATTTTTTTTTTTGTAAGAATTGGGGCAGCGGCATGCAACAGCGAATACAAAATGAGTCGGGATAAGAATGACTTTGCGCACCAAAGAGTCGGAGGAACAGCCGTTTACCACCAGCGAGAGAGGCACGGAGTGATCAGGTGGTTTTCTGGGTTCCTGTAATTAACAACCTCAGCCAAATCCAGCCAGGCATGACCAGCAAATTAACATGCAGCAGCTTTCACACTCTATCCCACAGATCTGCTCAGTGAGCAGAAAACCAATACAGGGCCACTCTGAAAATAGCCCAGACCACAGATTGTCCTCTCAACTACAATACCACCGATGCTACAACTGGATTCGACAAGCTTGGTAAACAAATTTCTCGTCAAGGTATTACAAAGGCATAGACACAATAATAACATTTTATATAGCCTAAGTGTTGGACGGGGGGGTTAAAAAGCTACCAGTAACTCTTATTTTTGTACAGATATTATGGAGATATCTGAAATCTGAGACATTTAATTTCTAAAATCTTAACATTATCTGTTTGAGATGTGGTGAATAACTATTGCGACTGATGCTCGTTTTAGAAAATTAAACATATGGGTTAAACAGTTTAACATCAAATGAGCACCCAGGCTACTACAGTCATGATTAATGACTGAAAATATAGTGGGACTGTTGACATTTTACGATCATCACATAAGCGAATGGACGCTTTCATTGAGGGTAAGTCTGTCTCTTTGCTAATATTATTGTTGTTAAGCTGTACTTACTCTGCAAAAACAAACCACTGCAAGCAATAAAATGAGGCCTGTTTTATTTCCCTTAAGTCCCTGTCTTGTCCTCCATAGCACCCCATCTCTCATCATCGCTTCCTGCCCACACAGGAACCAGCAGCACCAGGAGGAAATCCTTCCTCAGCTGAAAGCACGGTGAAATCCTGGAGGTTGAGGAGGGGACATCAACATGCAGGCCCAACTATCAGCTGCTGGACAAACAGACCAGCCTTATCTTTAGCTGCACAGGAGGGAAAGGAAAACACAGAGGACACGCAGAGCTCTGTATTGACCTCCACCTTGGTCGTACTACTCTTGACATTGAAGTTATGCCGCGATAGCAGAAAAGTCTAACCACATTAACTTCCCACAGTTTTGCTCGAGCTTCTAAACACCATTAAACCGATTCGGGGCTTTCGCATTTGTGCTACTGTAGAAGAGATCAATAAAACAGAGAACACGCCACTATGAAAAGGTTACAAGCGCGCATGCATCAGTCGACAAATGGTTCAAACCCTCTCAGATGCGACTCATCCTGGAGCGATCCTTCCATTTCACTGGCTTCCACTAGACATGTCACGGTTTAACTAAAGTGCATTACTATGTACTGTTACAGTGAAAAAGAGTAATAATGTGAAGACTTTTTGAAAGTTTTTTAAAATAGCAAAATAACTGTAAGCAATGTTATTTGAAATATATAATAAATATTTGTAATAGTTTGTTATTATTTCCACAATATTCATTTCATTTATACTGCACACTCACACCAGGAGGCAGTTTTGTCTCTTTAAAGATTTCATATTCTGCTAAACTAAAAAAAACAACAACAAGAAAAAAACCCACCATTTATTAATCCTGTACTCTGGTTATTCTGGAGTTCTAACCATTCATAACCAAACATTTGGCGAGTTGATCAGACAACATATCAAACTGCACTAGCCTAGTTATTCATCCCTACACGTTACAGAGCAACACCTATGTGCAAATGACCTACTTTGGCTGAAATTCTGGAGAGAAATCACACAATTTGCTGCACGTATAATCCTATAATGAATCCAATGCAGCTGTTCCATATCTCACAATTCCCTATCGACAACTTTGTTCCTCACCACACTTTGCCAAAGTACTCACTGACCCCGATTTGTCAGTGATGCGCTGAGAATAACAGAAGTGTTAGACACAGTACAGTGTACTATGGTTCCCAGTACTACAGCAGTCATGGTGGCTGTGACAGAATGAGTCTACTCTGGAGGGATGCAATGAAAATGTTACATCTGCATGCCTAAAATACAACTGAAGTTATGCTATTGATCCTCAAATACCCCTCCATATTGCTTAAATTATTTAGTTTGTCTGTAATGTGCTTCAGCAACACTGGTCCGACTACTGAACTTGCATGCCGTCTGCCTTGGACTTAAAAGTTCTGCAATGCAGATTGAGTATTCAGCCTCACAGAGAGGCAAAGAAATCCACTGTATAGACTCCTTAGATCATTATTACAACTGATTGATGAATAATGATTGCAGGCATTTTGGATTCTGATGTGCAACACAAGTCAGACTACTACTTTTGATTTTCATAGTGCAGGGAGACCAGGTTGGAACAACACCTACACAACAGTTTTATGACTGTCATAAACACTGCACTTCCTTGTCCTGTGAGAGAAACAAAGGACTCCACCAGTACAGTACATTTACATTTTATTTCTATCATTTTCATATCAAATATCTCTGGGGGGTAGGGTGACTTGAGTGCAGCTTAACCAGGCAACCTGCTAGAAGAAAGCCCTGGTCTCCCTAAAGTGGAGAAACGGTGACTTATTTTGAGCTAAACAGTTGCAATTACGCATTTACAACAACCACCATGCCACATGACTAAATGACACAAAGACTGCGGTGGGCATCTGCTTCCAAACGACTGATGCCCTGACAAGGCAGCATCAGTTAGCATTATTGGCTGGCTAGTTAGCCGCAAGGAAGCTAGCTTACATTAGCTAGCATCCATGCCTCATAACAGTGCGGCTTGTCTGATATTGGTATGCTTTAAAAATTAATTAAAACAAGTGGGCAGCAGCAAACACTGTAAATATCAAAGGGTGTTTTTTGGCGCTGCGGGAGTGCGTGTTACCTGTCAGCTAGCTCGGACTATTAACCGCAGCCTGCCAGCTAACCTGACGCCTTGTTTGACGTTAGCCGTCGGCTGGTGCCAGCTAGCTTAGCGCGGCTAGCTAAAGCATCGGCGATGCAGCATCCAGAGCCCGGTGACATTTCACTCACCTAACAGTGACCGGAGGTGCTTGAGCCGGGTCAGCACATCCTTCTTTGGGTCCAGAACTTTCTGTGTAGATTTCTTGACGTCTCCATGCCCCCTTCGAGTGAACATTCCGCTGTAAAATGCAACCGTGGAAGCCGAAATCACCTGTGTTTCACCATACACCAAGGCTCCAGTGTGACTGTCACTTTCCTCACCGCCGCTCTATGCTTGCTCGGTAAACATTGGGCCGACGGCCGCTGGTGTGTCCTGTTTTCTGTGGGTGTGTAAACACGGAAGCGCAAGACTGACAGAGAGGAGTGGTTACAGCACATGAATACGCCTTCTTGTTTATAACCGTTCCACCTTGCACTTCCACTGCGTTTCTTTTCATCCCCCGTTCATGACAAAACAACCTACTTTATTTCTATTTCCCACATTAGAGCCACGCTGTCGTATTGTGTAGTGAGAGGTTTAGGTTCCAGATCTTTTCAGAAACTGAGAAAACTTGCTTGAATGCATTGTCCTGTGTAAGAGCAGTAAAGTTTGAATAAGCTGTAGTTAGGATGTGGGACTATTAGAGTTCTTTGACAGCAATTTGATAAAAAAGGAGTTTGTAGTGTTGTCATGGCTCCTAAGCGCCCCCTGGTGTCTGAAGCTAACACTACAGCAGAGATTTTGATCCTGCTTCTCTTCACACTATTCACTGGCATCACCTGTATATATGAATGGAGAAAAAGAGAAAGAAAACTAGTACAAGGCCACTCTTTAAAACAGCCCAGATACATACATACATTATCCTCAACTACAATGCCACTAATACGCTGACTGAATTCAATAGGCTTGCTTAGCATACTTCTGACCCTGGCATTACAAAGCTATAGAAAATTACACACAATACCAACAATTCACATAGTCTAACTGACAGCGACCCTGAGATCTCGGACGAGGGGTTAACAAGCGTACAATAACTCCTACTCATGCAACTGCTGTACTGCAATTACAGGACTGTTTGAAGCTTAAGACATTTCATTTCTTATATTCTGATCTGTTTACAATAAGGTAGATAACTACAGCAAACCTAATAATGAATACAAACATGCAAGGTTAAACAGTTAAACATCACAATTTCATTTCTTCCATTTTCATTATTTTTTTCCAAAGCGACGTACATCTGAGAGCGGATACAACACAAGCGAGGATCCGGTCAGGAGAAAACAATCTGGATAAGTGCCATAGAACAAGAAACAAGCGACGCAGCCACTTTAACACCACCACGGTCATGTTTAATGAATGGAAAAACAGTTGACATTTTACAATCGTACGAGAGAAACAGACCCATCTCTCATCATCGCTTCCTGCTTACACAGGACTTACAAAGGATGATTTCTTTAATGGAAAAAGCAAAAGTGTTTTAGGTTAGATGGTTTATTATGTGGGGACCTCTGCATATCCACCTTGTCATGTTCAGATTGCATGTTTTCTCCAACCAACAATCAAAAGTAGAAGAAGAGAAGCCAATATTCACGTTTAAGGATTTGGAGCGAGTCATTTCTTTTTTCTTAAAAAGTGACTTTAACAATTATTCATTTATCAGGGAAGCTGGCAATTAATTTTCTATTATTAATCTAATTATTTTTTACAATTTGAGTGATTCGTGACAAGGTGTATGCAGAGCAGCTTGCACTCAGTGTGAGGGTTCATTTTAGCAAGCAGTAAAGTTACCCAAAACTGAGTGGAAATAATGATACATGGATGAATGCAAACATCACTTTACTATATGACAGTTTCCATCATTATATAGTATAGATACTGTTAACACTCTGTAGTGTAGCATTGCATATAGTCTTCATGAAATGAGTAAATTACTATAAAATGAATACACCCTTATAGAATAATCAACTGGGATACATTTAGATGGCGTTTCGATGCTACAAACCATTTGCCTGATGACGGTCTAGCACTGAAAAAAAGAAAGATAGGTGTGGTTTTGCAAATTAGACAGCGTACAAGAGTCTGATCTTCTCGTTTCTCTCCTACTGACCTGTCCTGTGAAATAGAAGTGCAAAGACTTCCTTTGTTTGGATACATGTTTTATTGTGAGCTCTGTATGTTTTACTACTGATAGTGTAACATGGACACAAGTGAAAAGGAGCCGGACAGTGTTGTAATTCATATATTACTACAATATCACGAACGATAAAACATATTCAACTTTTCTTTTTAATTTTTATCATTATAAAAAAAAGTCAAGAACATTTGATTTGTATATGTGATTGCATGATAAACTGATAACTTTAACAACTGCAGCATCCTGTTTGGGAGTTTCAGTTGTCAGTTGCTGGTGTTCTACTACATGTCGCCTCAAACACAGGTTTACTAGGACACTTACATGTAATGGAGTCATCAATAATGTTATTGATTACATCTGTGTTCCCCTGCTGGCAGTAAAGACCCCTCTAGGGTCTTTTGAGTAGCACTCAACCGATACTATTGCTTGTTACCTGGGCTGCAAGTTTAAGGATACCAAACATACTGACATAGTTTTTGGTTTGAAAATCAAACAGGAGTTCTGATTTCTACTATTGTATGTGATTATAGCAGTTAAATGCAGGTGTACAATTTACAATATAGCCTTGTAGTACGTCTGTTTTCATGCCGACATTATCTCTAACTGTAATTAACTCCTGGTCGCAAGTCAAAGCCTGTATAAAAATAGTGCATGCCTTTCTGCTAATTCTCATAGCTGAATGCACCAATTCTTACAAGACAGTTATGAATGAACTTAACTTTCAGATGAAAGAGACCTGCATTTTTTTGATATTCACACCCTGCTATGGTGACACTTAAGAGAATAAAGGTATAACAGCTTTACTGCTCATTCCAGCTGCTGCCTCTTGACACTTTACGCCGGAGGTTCTGATGAATGAATATAAGAATACGGGGGAGTTTTTTAAAAAGGAACTCTCGTGCTTTAAGTAAACTTAGGGTTATGCTAAATTGAACAGAGTTCAGTGTGCTCATGGCATTAATGGGTGTTCAAAATAATTTGTTCTACTTGGTTGTGCAGAGAGTAAATTCCATCTTGGAAATGAAAAAAAAAAAAAGTGTTTATGTTCTGAGATGAATCTTAAGTTTTGAAGAAATTGGATGCATCCATTAATCAACCCCACTAAACTGACATTCTGTGCAATCTCACACTTTCGCTTGTCTGAACCTATCTGTCTTATTTTGGAGGCAATTAATTTTGAGGCTAAGCTGGGAAAATGATTTTATTTACACATCTTAGACACATCTCACTGAAAACAGACTGTGGGTTTAATGTGGAGTTCAAGTTCATGAGGGAGAAATCTTTTTCTGAGTTGGTGTTAGATGAAGTCAACAAACAGATGTATAGCCTATTGAGTGCGCCCTTGTGCTGCCATTACATCTCACATGAAGCAACACCTTTCTAGACTTGGTGTTATAGGAGGAAAGTCTACTACTATAGAGGAACAGAAAAACTTCTTCTCACAAAAACTACAAGTGAGACCCAGCTGAGCTCTTCAAGTTGATCAAATTTGCCAGAAGATGGCGCCTAAACCTTTGCTGTGGTGAGCCGAAGAAAACAAACACCAAGCTAAACACATTACAGAGCATGTTAAGCTGTCATGAATAGCATGTATAGATGCATGACCCTTGAATGGCCTGCACGTATAGCTGTATCAGTGCAGACAAATGTGATGGAATTTATTCATATGGTTACAGAAACAGAAGCTGTAACCAAAGAAAAGGGAGTCTCATAAAGGAGTACGTTTTGTTGGAGTAACAAAATTCTGAAAGTACAATAAAGGCATTCACAAGAATGCCAGTGTTTTGGAGTCAACTGTGAAGCTATTCTGTCAATAAAGAAAACAAGCCTGCGTTCTATTTCATCTACCACCCCCACATACTGAGCACTGACAATGTTGTGAGAGCGTTTGTCTCTCTTTTTCAAGGTTCTCCACAATAGATGTCTTGAATGATAGGAGGGAACAGAGGGTAGTGAGAGCGGAGGCCAAAGAGGAAGAGTAAAAAGAGGAGTAAAATCAGCCTTTGCCCTGCAGTTTGGTATGACACTCATTATCTGAAGTGGGCCATTCTGAGAAAGGAGGAGGTTGCCTGTCACAACAGATGTTGATTACACAAAACAGGGTAGTTTGGAAGGATGAGTGAATAAAACACAAGCTTACACACGCGTGCGCACACACACGCACGCGCGCACACACACGTAGTGGGTTATTGTTGGTGCTTTGTCATCAGTCTTAATTGATTGTAATCACCATTCCTTCTTGGCAAACCTCCCCTGTTCCTGAAGTGCAGGTTATTGCTCATTATCTAAGATGGCATGGACCTCCGATAATCTATCAACAATAACAATGGGACTGGATGTTTTCTTCCCTCTCTAATTCTGCACCTGGAAGTAGTTCGTATCCAGCTCATTTCTGAAATGATATACCGTAGGCTAAGGCAGCTCGACTTTATAGCCTGCTGTAGAGCCCTACGCTGCCTTCTTTAAAGCTAGCTCAGTGCAGAATTAAAGCAGGTACGGCGCCAACTGTGACATTATTTTTGAATGAGAGCGTTTATCTTGAAATAAGATTTTCACAGTATTAAAAAAAAAAAAAAAAAAAAAAGCAATTTATTATTTTTCATTCAGGCCTGGTGCTGCCAACTGACAGGACCTGGCAGTGCAGTGAAAGCCTCATCGCGACCAAATGGTGGCACTGTAAGCTCACAAATGTAAGAGTGCCCTTCTCATGGCCAGACTGTCGGACTGATTCCAATCCAAGGTTTGAAAAGCACTTGTCTGCTCTAAATTGTTCTTATAAAGAGCTTGGAAATACTTGACTTTTCTCCTTATGTGGTTATGGATTTCCTTTTTGTACAATTAAGTGCCATTAAAAGCTAATGTATCCTGTTAAACCATATTAAGGTGTGAGGGTGGACAGTGGCACAGTTACCCATCCGCATATTTTGAATAGGAGCCCACTTTTGGAGCATTTTTTGAAATCTATATCGGACCATTCAGAAACTTCAGGATGAAAAGGATCAAAAGGGAAATGTCCACAGGGCTGCTGATTTTCAGACTGTGAGACCACCCACAGCTGCTTGACATAGATGAGCCACGGAGCAATGAAATGATGAAACAAAACCATTCTGGGTTTGACTCAACCGAAGAATAATTGTGTCTAAAAATGGCACTATCTGTATTTTCTATAG